TCGCGACCAGTCGGGTAACGGCTCTATAGATCTTAGATTTGAGACGTTCATGCATGTTCTAATCGCAGAGTACGCCAGCCATCGAGCTACACTTCAACCACGCTGCGTTCAAGCGAAAAGTGGTTTCAAAAACCAAGCTGCCGTCTTACGCAATAGTCAATCCACTATACTTGAAAGTTGTTGTCCGTGTGAGCTCAGTACCGTTGATCTCGATAGGCCTGGCTTGCTCGGATCGGTGGTCAACTACTCGGTTTTTTTACGCTCAACTTAAGCCCGAACATGGCCAGATGGTCAACCACGTCTGCACCTGTTGCTCAAAGTTGCTTTTTTCCTCGCTGGCGAGCATCACGTCATCTGCATAAAAAAGCGTCCAAGGAGCCGGCTTCTGGAGATCTCTTGTAATGGTATCCATGACGACAACAAATAGTAGTGGGGCAAGCGCTCTGACTTGGTGTACTCCAACGGAGACGAAAAAATCCTCCGATATGCCCGCTGCCTTTGCACTCGGCTGTTTGGACTAGCGTAAAGGATGCGTACCCACACGATAAGCGGATAACGCCATGCTGTCATAAGGCATGCCATATAACGTCACGCGGAAAGCGGTCGAAACCCTTCTATGAATAAAGGAAAGGCAAAGGCATGTACCGGTCTCTGTTTCTCGCGTTTCTTCTAGTAGAAGGCGAGTGCGTGTATGTCATCAATGGTGCTGCAGCAGTCACAAAACCACACTGGTTGATTGTCAGCCCGACGATACCACGGATACAACAATTCTACAATTCGCCTAAAGATTTTCATGCTGTGCGAGGGCAAGCGAATTGGTCGGTAGCAAGTGCAGTCCACAGGACTGCCCTTCTTTTATCAGTAGGAATCGTCGTGCTTTGTTGCCAGCTCTCAAGCTGAGCCTTTGCCTCGTCCGTGGCTATTTGATAGCGCTGCCACTTACCAACTGTCTTCTCGAAAATAAATGCGTAGTATTGCTTTTTCTTCTCACGTACCTTAGCTCTGACATGGTTTGTCCACTACCATATTGGTTTGTCATCCCTTCGCCGTCCAGGTTGGACATGCCGAGCTCCGACCGCGCAACCTGGGTTTTCACTTCGACAGCTTCCTTCCAAGTTTCGAAGACACTCGCTAGCGCTGGTAATAGAATGCGGGAGACGACGGCCGCTTCTTTTTCCTTTGGTAGGCTACCAACTGTTTTTCTCTCTTCCACACCTTTCAGCTAGTCTCGGTTTAGGGAGGATCTTTGCGCACAAATCCGTGATCGCTGTTTTGTGGCGACCGTTTCAAAGAGCACTGTCATGGCGTCTGTTACAAGCCCTTGATCGCGGTGCGTGACAAGGACAAATCAATTTGTAATCTGTTCTCTCCCTCTATAGGAGGTGTTGAGATGAGACTCATTAAATCTCGTGTTTACAATGGCGAGATTATGCGAGTCTGCATATTAGAGAATTCGCTCGCCATCAGTGTTACGTGACCCATATCCAAAACCACCATGCCAGCTATAACCGTCTTTCGTAGCGCCCACGTGACCGTTAAGATCACCTGCGACAACTATGTCTTCTTGTGACGGTGCTTCAGCTGTCTTTTCATCGAGAAGGTTCCAGTACTTGTCCGTGGTTTGCTCGGAGCATCCAGTCTGCGGAGCGTACGCTGAGAAGATGGTATTTTTGGCTTCAATGATTACCACGATCTTCATTAGGCGGTCATCGAAACGTTACACGCTTACTATCCAGTCATGGAACCGTTCAGAGACTATTATCCGAACGCCGTTGGAGGTTTTGGGGCCACTACAAAGAACGACTCTGAAGCCGTGGCTTATGTTCCCGGACTTGCAGCAGGACCATCTCATTTCCTGCACGGCACAGAATTTCAATTTGCCGACGCTATAAAGCTTCCGCTAACTCGTACGAGCGTCCCGTTAACGTGGAAACATTTAGTGTCGCAACGCGAGCCTTCCGTTGCGGGCCTTTGGACTAGCTTAGTTGCCCCGCGATGCCGTCCCTGCACCGGGACTCTCGCATGCTTTACACTCGCCGAATCTGCGAGTGCGCGTCGGCTCTCGCGGACGACCAGCATTACATCGAGATTCATATAGTGACATTAACATTTCTGATGTGACGTGGGTGTCCGTAGACCGGCCTGTTAGAGGCCTGAGCCTACATCCGAATGGCCTCGATCAGCCCAGCCCACAGAGTGAGCAGCTTCAGTGGCACCCCTTGGAGAAACGGAAAACACAACCGCTCAAATGAAGTGCATCGAAATATATGTAAAAAAATTTCTCTATATATAAAGTCGTAAATTTGTTGGTCTGTTTGTATGTCGGTTCGTGCGTCCTTCCGGAAAGTCTCGTAGGAGATGAAAAGTGTGAATGTCATGTGAGCGCGGTGGGTATGTATGTATGTATGTATGTATGTATGTATGTATGTATGTAT